TCCTCCCCACATTCTGCCTCTGACTGGTCTGATGTGGCAACCAGTCCCAGTAACAACCAGCGCGGGCCGGCCACCACTCACATGACAGAGCAGCAGCGAAACAACATGCAGGTGTATGCCTGAAGGCTGGCCAAGGTGAAGCCCAATCAAAAAGTGGACTCCAGAACTCATGAAGGTCTTCCAGGATGAAAATGAAGAACCATTTTAGTATCCAAGAGTCTTAATGAGCCTAGGCTGTTCTTTCCTTGGAGGGACTGTGGTCGCTGTAGGCGTTGTATGCTTTTTATGCTAAACAGAGAACTGTAGAAGCTGGTGATGGAGAAGACCAACTGGGTCACTTCTAACCAACTCCCATGCACCTTGGATGTGATTGCTGTCTGCACTGGATTCTCCAGTCTGCTTTTAAATATGTTCCACCATGTCTCTGGGGAGACAGCTCTTCAGCTTAATGCATCTCATGGTCACTTCTCCAGAAATTTAGCCAAAACCAGCTGCGTATCCTTATTTTGTTACTACTTCTGTTACCCATGTAACCTCTCTCTGAAGCACCTTCTACTAGTTCTCCTCGAGTTCAAGTTGCCTTGTCTTGACACAGCTCAGAGCTGCACCCACATTCCTAGACCCCTCCTTCCCTCGGCTGCCCTTGCTCAGCAAGCGAGCCGGACTTCCCAAAACACCTGCAGGTCAAGTGACACTTTCTGTCACACAGCTTCACCCTGCCCTCTTCCAGAGTCTTTGCCTTATACAGACCCACTAACACCCCTTAGTGTTCTCACTGCCTGCCCCCCAGGTATTATGAGATTATATATATACATATAGTCTTCTCTTAGGTCTTTTTGTTGGTTGTATTTTTTTTACCCTGCTGCCCAAAACGCTGGTCTGACCTGGTCTTCCCCCCATGGTGGCCTGTAGGCGCATCTCTCCCGTGTTGTAGGTCTTCCCTGAGACACACCTGACCATTTTGACACACTACCCTCCCTGTACCCCTCTCCTTCCAGGTATGTCCATGACTGCCTTCACGGGCTCACATGCTGGAAGAGATGCCCTGCAATCCATATAGACCTTTTGGGAAACTCTTGGTATGAGCATGAGTGTTTCAAAACCTTGTAACACAAGCTCCCAGAATTCTTGCACAATACTCCCTGCCCCTCCATCCAAGGGTGGCTGTGTCCTGTCCTCCAGGTACTGTATGCTGCCTTGTCATGGTATTATCAAGAAATGTCACGGATGTCATCACATGTTTGCAGTGTGTCTCCTTCTGCATCAGGAACCATGTCCAGCCCTTTGAAAGGTGTCCCTTCCACTCCAGCCTTGGGACAGGGCTGTTTTGTCTTCCCCTCTCATCAAGGAAGCTGCAGCACTGACTCCAGAGCAGGCTTCCAGCAGGAGCAGCATGCCTGAAGCCAGGACCTGACCTTAAGCAGCAGGCAAAATAGCTCAGAAACCGTTGCCTGGTGCAGTTCAGTTAACAGGTTTGGGGCTGTCCTCTGCTCTCAGCTTCAGCCCGTATCAAGGTTTCCCAGCCAAGATGCCCCATGTGCTCTGTGGGGCGGTAGTTTCATTTGTACTGCAGCTTCCCCGAGATTTTGGAGTTATGGAAGCCAGCAGTCACTGACCTTAGAAAAACAGCCGCTCCTTCTGCTTTGTCCGCAAGAGTAATGCTTCCCTGAAAGGCTCTGAACCAGTCAGCAGCCGAAGTGAACATTTCTGGGGTTGGTTTGCTCCTACCTCTTCAGGGGAACCCTGCAGACACATGTTCCAAAGAGATCGTGGCTGTTGGCTGCCGCCAAAGGGCAGAGAAGGCCACTCCCCACCGAGCAGCGGCCCTTCAGCATCCTACCATGTACAGTATTTCCTTCGATGCTTCTTTCCACTCTAATCAAGGGCAAAAGCTTTTTCTTTTGATTTGACTCAATGGTACATGAAGGCAGGGCCTCAGGAGGAGCCGGTTCCCGGGGCCGTCATTTTGGGCTGAAGTTTTTAACTGAAGTTACTGCTTTTTACGATGCACACAGCGTTCCCTGGCACACTTGCTGCAGTGCATCCTGTGAAGTTTAGCTGCAACCGACTCAGATCTCCAGGCAGAAGCCTGCGAGCTCCTGGAGTTCTGTCCAGGTACATGTTTCACTGCAAATAATGAAGTGTTGCTACAGCAATGCTAAAGAAACAAAGGGCTTTTCCTTTTTAGCCCCAAATAACCAAGTGCCTTTTAAAATATGTGGCTGCCTTTTACAAGACGAGTGCTTTCTGTGGAATGAAGCCGGCTTCATGCCTGGCGTGTTAATATGATGGCCCTCTGCCTTTCTTTTTTTTAACTACTTGTAAAGATAATATCTCCTTAAGGTGGTATTTTATCTCGTAAGTTGTAGAGTAACCATTCACACAGCAGCATTTTCCTATATTAATAATGGAAAATATTTGCTTATTTTTACATTTTTTATAAAAGTCTTTTATGAAAATAGTTGCTGCAAAATGTATAAGCAATTTTTATCCCCAGAATAAAGAGTATGTGCCCAGTGTCTGTGTGCTGCTGTTTTCATTTGGCTTCCCAGCTGTTGTGGCACAGCCACTGGATTATGAATGAATCTTCAGTGTTTGATGGCTGTTCAGACCCCGACAAGCAAAGGCTTATTTGGGCCTGTGCAGTTCATGTCGGGAGAGAGCTTTTGAGCCTCAGGGGTGCTCTGTGCTGTGGCTCTACACCACATGAGTCCCAACACTTAGCTCCATCCAAGGGAGCTGTGCCTAGGAGCTGAAAACAGCCTAACTGGGCTGTAGCTGGAGGATGCTGGGACTTGGTTAGCTGAGAAGAGGCAGCAACCAGCAGCCAAGCAGCTGGGCTTACTGGGAAAGATGGGGAAGGACTGGACTGGGGCCCGTTTGGGATGCTTTGAGTAAGAGCTCTCACTTGCCTGGGAGTCTGGGAGCTGGAGAAGGGCTGGTGCTTTTGTGTGGCTTTTAGAAAGGTGGTGAGCAAGCGTGGGTCAGGTGGTGATTAGTGGAGCCATGGGTTTGCTCCTTTCAGGCCCTGCTTGCTTCCCAGGACTGTTCGCTGTTCTTCCAGCTGGGAGGAGGACCAAGGCTGCCTCCCTGGCTTTGGCTTGGAAGCTGGTTTTTGAAGATGTGCAATTCCCAGCCTCTGAAATGAAGAATCATGGCTCCTGCATGCCGTTTTCAGAACTGAAGTTTGACTTCAACAGCTGGGGAGCAAGTTGACAATGGCTGCCACCTTGTATTTTGAGCAGGGAGGTGCCACTGAAGCCCTGGGCTCCGCTAGTGCTCACCTGGCCAGTTTCCAGCTCTCATTGTGGACTGGGATGGAGCCAGTAGCTGAATTACGATGCCTAGCGGCATAAAGCTGCTGGGGGCATTTTAAGGGTTTAATATTCAAACAATGCAGCTCCTTTATCTTCCAGCAGAGCCAGCTTGGCAAGTGCAAACCTCTGGGAGGCTTTCAGCCATGTTCTTGCACAGGTTGCACATCTGTGCCAAAGTTTAGTGAGCTCTGCTGTGTCTCTGGCACAGCTACAGTGAGTTTGATGATGCTCAGGTTGAGACTTGAAGCTGCATCTTCTCAGGGATGGCACATGCCTCTTCCCCCGCCCAGGATAACGAGGGGCTTGTGAAAACTTGTGTGTTACATCCAAATAAGCCTAGTTGAACCAGCCAAACAGGGAGCTGGGGCATCCCTTACCTAACTGAGGAATGATGGAGTAGCTTCAGGCTCCTTTGGGGAAGATTTTCATGGTTTTCCACAAAACAAGGGTGAATCCTGTCTTCTGGGGGTTGCTGTGTTTGAAGGGTTTCCCCATTAGATAGAGCAGCTGGTTTCTTCTGTAAGGAGAAAATGTAGCAGGCAGCAGCTGTGTTTGAACACAAGAAGGCTTTTACCCCTTTGATGCTGGAGGGTGCCTAGCAAGCTGGCTGAGCCTTGAGCAGCCTTGGGAAGCTGCAGCAGCTCTAGCTTGGCTGTGTGGGTGAGGGAGATGGGTCTGATCCTCCTCCCACCGCAGGGCAAGAGCCAGACCTGCTGCTGCACGCTGGTGTGGAGCAGCACACTGGGTGTAGCAGTACTTGCTGCCTTCGTGTTTCAGTAAATACTGCCACAAAGGAGCCATGTGAGGTCCCCGGGGGACATGGCTTGAGCCAGGCAGGCAGCAGAAGGAGCTTCAGCCTGCTGCAACCCCTCCATGTTGGGGAAAGGTGGGCTCAGCTCTGGGGATGGATCCTCTGTGGGTAGCTGCCTCCTGAGTAGCTCCCAGTGGCTTTCTCCAAGGGTCTTGGGGAGGGCTGAAGGAAGGAGAGACAGGCATCGGCCATAGCTGGCAGCAGCAGGGCACTGGGCAGCTTTGTACCCTCTGGACAGGCAGTGTTAGGAGCTCTCAAAGCTGCTTTGCTATATTAGCCAGCAAAGCAGTGCTGCAGAGCAGCGTGGTCAAAGCAGTAGGGTAGGTGAGCTTCAGTCTCCTCCCACCAGTGCAAGAGGACAGCCTGGGGTGAGGAGCAGGGACAGTGACAGAGAAGGCTGTGCCTGACCTTGCTGAAGAGCTCTGGCTGCTGAGGCCAGGGCAGCCCCTCTGCTGTTCCGTGCCAGCAGCAGCCTCCACAGGGCCAGGCTGCAGGTACCCGTGGGGCAGGGGTGGTGGGGGGCTTCAGGACCTCCCCCTTCCACAGGATGCAGGCTGATGAAGCCCTGCGTCAGTGCTGGGCGTGAGGGCCGGGCATCCCCTCTGCTATCTGATGGCACCCACCAGCCCCCGGCCACAGGCTGTTCCCACATCCCTGCGTCCTGCATCCTCCTGACAAACATTCCCAGGCAGTTCAAACAAGGGCGGTGTGTGGGTGACGCATGGCAGGACGTGGGGCCCTGCCACGTGCCATCCCTTGGCTGGGGACATGGGCAATGCCAGCAGGTGGTACCCATGGCCCAGCCGCTCGCTGCAGGGATGCTCCGGCCAGAATCAGTGCGGGCTGTCCTAGGGCTCACCCCTGCCAGCCCCCAGTCCAGCCGGAGCTGGGCCAGCAGGCATCCCTGCCCGGCTCTAGGCTGCTCTTTGCTGCAAGGTTCTCCCTGTGTTTACGTTGGTAATTTACGCTAATTGCAGGGGGTTTATTGACCAACTAGGAGAGGTTCTTCCTGTCTCTTCTGGAGAAAAGTTGAATGCAAACAGAGCAGAGATCTGGGCATCTTTCCAGCAAAGTAGGGGGGATGGAGGGGAGTCAGCATTGAGATTTTTATGGTGGGAACCACCTGATCTGGGCAAACACCAATGCTGGTGAGCACTGGGCTATAAAGGGCAGCTCTTCTCTCCTGGCAGCCCACAAGAAGCCATTATTCCCCCCGATCTCCAGAGACCAGGTGAGGACGGGGACCCTCACAGGGCAGCTGGGGCCTTGGGGTGCTCCATGGTGCCTTGTCGGTGACCAGGAGCCTGTGGCAGCCCTGGCAGCTCCCAGGGGAGCTGAGCGCTGCCCTTGCTGCTTGGGGCAGGCTGCAGCAATGAAATTTTCAGCCCCACACTGGCTTTTGTCACTGCTTCTTTGACGGGAAAACAAGCCGAGTCTGCAAATCAGCCCCCATGCCCAGAGATTAGCCCAGATAAAGGCGATGATGTGGTTGATTTGCCTTCCTGGCCTGGGCAGTGCTATGAGCTCGGGGGGTGACAGTGATGCTGTGTGCATAGTCCCTGCAGCCCTACCAGCTGCATTTCTGCCTGTGCCATTGCTGCTGCTGCTTGATGCCAGGGCAGGGTTGGATTTCCCTTACCTATGCCTGTGGCAGCATGTTCTCATGTCCCCACAGAGCAGCTTGGCTCACCCAGCCAAGGCTGGGACTGGTGGGGCCAGGACACAGAGCTGCAGGAGGGACCCTGAGCCATGCCTGGGGATGGATGGGGTGCTGGCACAGGGTGGTGAGCTGTGCCAGGGGAGAGGGAGGCACAGCCCCAGGGCTGCCATCTCCTCCAGCTGGCTGAAAGGAGGCAAATTGAGCCCATGGCAGGGTAGGGCTGCACCCTCTGGGCACAAGCAGCATCCACCATACCTGAGGGGCTTGATGTGACCCCCTGTGCTCTTACAGGGGATGCTTCCAGGAGCAAGGAGCATGGTGGCAGCAACCAGACTTTTCCTCCTGCTGCTGGGCTGTGTGGGGCTCCTGCAGCCGGCTGGTAAGTTCCATGACTTGGGTGGCAGCCAGTTCTACAGCGCAGCCAGGCATGAGCCAGGGTCCTCTCTGGCTGTTGAGGCCAGCTCCCCCATCCCTCCCTGTGGCTCTCCCTCCGCAGGTGCCCGGTACATAGACTACTGCCCCAAGGGCTGGTACTATTACAAGCTCAGCTGCTTCAAGTATTTCAGTCAGCTCCAGAGCTGGGATGAGGCCGAGGTAAGGCTGCTGGGGTACAGAGGTGGCTGGGGTGAGCCACCTGCTGGGAATGCCCTGGCACTCATGGCTCTCCCTGTAGAGGCAGTGCCGGGCCAGCTATGCTGGTGCTCACCTGGCCTGGGTGGAGGAGCCCCAGGAAGCAGCCACCCTGCAGAGGGTCATCTCCTACTACCAGCGTGTGCAGCCCGTCTGGCTCGGCCTCCGCTATGGGCAGCAGGTGAGGCTGGGAGCAGCAGGGTGGTGGGGGCCACAGGGCAGCAGAGCCATGGCTCTAATCCACTCTCCCTGCACAGAGCCAGGCCTGGCAGTGGGCGAGTGGGGACAAGTACAGCATCACCAGTGGGCTGCCTGGGAACGGTGCCCTTGGGGGGACCTGTGGCATGCTGACCCACCTCAGCGGTGAGTGCCCAGACCCCGCATCCACCTCCGGTGCTCCGTCTCAACCAGCATCCCTCCTCCAGGTCCAGGGGGGTATGGCAGGCAGAGCTGCTGCCCCTGTCCTCGACATGACTCCACCAATCCCCATCTCTCTGGCAGGCTTCACCCTGTGGTCCAGCACTGACTGTGCCCAGCAGCATCACTACATCTGCAAGTTCACACCCTTGCACTGAGGACAGCGCCTGGGCCCATGGTGGGCCCCACATTGGCTCCTCCTGTCACCTCTGCTCCTCTCCCCCAACTCCTAAAAATACAAAAATAAAAAAGGAGCATGCAAGTGCTGTGTGAGCTTGGTGCTGGTGCAAAGCCCTGGGAGAGGCAGGTGCTGCCACGGCTCCCTGAGCTTCCCAGCTTCCCGGGACTTCGGCACTGCCGGTGCTGTCGGAGCCTTTCGGGAGTGAGTCCCAGGAGCCGCAGGGCCGGTGGCTTTCCCAGCCGGGCTCTCGTGTTTGCTCATTCCCAGCTGTTCTGTGCCAAATGGGACAGGTGTCCCTGGGGAGCAGGGGAGCGGACAGGAGTGCCCTCATGGTGCAGAGCATGGATGTGGGTGAGGATTCGAGCTGTTGTGGGTGTGCACATGTAAGTATGGGTGCCTCCCTGTGTGCTGGTGGCTTTGCAGGGGTCTGGGGGCTGCGATACTGCCCCATGGCCATGTTGACAGCAGCACCAGGACCAAAGGTCCCTTCTTGAGTCACACTGTGTTGCCACAGGCGTCACGTGGCTGTTCGCTGTTTGCTGTTTTAAAGACGGCTATGCCCCCCCCCCCCAGCTCACGGGCTTCTTACCCCTCAGAGCTGCAGCACGTGTTGGAGGTGGACCGCATCCCAGGCAGCAGGGACGGTGCTGGCACCCCATCCCCAGCCGCCCTCTGCTCCCGCCCTGGCAGTCCAGGGCAGTCGGGGAGGGCATCCAGCAGCTCGCACACCGTACGGTGACCAGAGCTGTGCGGGTGAGCTGCAGTCACCGGAACTGCCGCTGCCCCACAGCATGGGGAGCGCGGGCTGCAGGAGAGCCCTTTGCACTGCCCAGCCCTGCCTCCAGCTGAGCTCATCCTCAGGTTTTGGGGTGCAAGGTAGAGACATCTTGTGAGTTCCCTCCTCCGAAGCCGGCGCTTGCTCGGCTGTCCCTGTTGTGTTGGCTGCTGCTTGGTGACCTTTGAGCGCCAGGGTCTGGTGTGCTGATAAGGGCCAGGAGGGCTGTGCCGTGCCGCCTGTGCAGTTTATAAAAGCACCACACAAGGCCTATCCCTGCAGCCATCCTGTCCCACCGTCTGTGCAGCAGCAGGGTGAAGATGTTACGCTTGGTTGGCCGCGCCGCTCGCTGCTGGGGGGCAAGGCAGACATCGCCGGGGCCAGAATGGGCACTGTGGGGACCCCAGCACGCCACGGTTGTGCAGAGGGCATGGTGAGCACCCACGCGAATTGGCTGGGCTGGGGGCTTATCCAGGGACAGGTCAGGGAGCTGACAGTGTTCTCAAACCTTGCTGGGGAAGGCGATGCTCTCCCTCCTCCCCACAGGGCTGCCAGGGAACCAGCAGGGATTTGGGGTGCTCATAGCCTGGGATGCTCACTGGTGGCACTTCCCTGGGACCACCGCATGTCCCCAAGTCTCAGGGCTGCCATGGAACTATCACTGCTCCCTCTGCCCCACAGTCTCTCCAGCACTGCTGGGACGGGCACCTGGCCCAAGGATGTGGGTATCCTGGCGCTGGAGGTGTACTTCCCTGCTCAGTACGTGGAGCAGGAGGAGCTGGAGCGGTATGATGGCGTGGAGGCTGGCAAGTACACACGGGGCTTGGGCCAGCAGCAGATGGGCTTCTGTGCTGCCCACGAGGACATCAACTCCCTGTGCCTGACGGTGGTGCAGCGGCTGGTGGAGCGTGGGCGCCTCTCCTGGGACGCCATCGGCCGCCTGGAGGTGGGCACCGAGACCGTCATTGACAAGTCCAAGGCCGTCAAGACTGTTCTCATGCAGCTTTTCCATGACTCGGGCAACACTGACGTGGAGGGCATCGACACCACCAACGCCTGCTATGGGGGCACGGCTTCGCTCTTCAATGCAGCCGCCTGGGTAGAGTCCAGCGCCTGGGATGGTGCGTGCAGCAGGGACTGTGCCATGGGGATGGGGGGGTTGCATGTTGGGTGGGTGCCATGGGATGGGGGAAGGAGGCAGGAGGTGTCCTGAAACTGAGAGATGCCCTGGCCAGACTCAAAGGGAGCTGTTGCCCCTCCCAGCTCTCCGTCACTCTTGTTGTTTGCCCACCTTGGCCATGACACCCCGCAGCATGGGGGTGGGAGTACATGAGGTCCATGGGATGGAGGCTTCCACCCACTAATGGCCCCACCGGCCCCCCTGTCCTCCCTCAGGTCGCTACGCTGTGGTGGTGTGTGGAGACATCGCCGTCTATGCCACAGGGAACGCACGGCCCACAGGAGGTGCCGGTGCCATTGCCATGCTGGTGGGACCCAATGCCCCGCTGGTGCTGGAGAGAGGTTGGTATCATGGGGCCCTGGGGATGGTGAGCTGGTGGGTGCTGTCCCTGGGGGCCATACATCCACATCCCAACCCTGACAGAGCTGCTCAGTTCCAGCAGTGGGAGTTCTGCCAGCCCTGATGGCTGCCTGGTGTTTGGTATCCCAGGATCCCAGCAGACACGTTCCTGCGGGTACCATGGAGCAGCCCAGGGAGGCTGGCAGATACCAGGGCTGGCACAGCATGGCAGGCAGCACCTATGTGTGTAACCATCTGGCTGGGACCCCCCAGTCCCCCCTGACAGCTGGCTCTCCCTGTGCCTGCAGGCCTGCGGGGAACCCACATGGAGCACGCTTATGATTTCTACAAGCCAGACCTGTCCTCTGAGTACCCAGTGGTGGATGGGCAGCTTTCTATCCAGTGCTACCTGCGGGCACTGGACCGCTGCTATGCCGTTTACCGCCGGAAGGCAGAGAGCCAGTGGAAGCAGGGTAAGCAGCGGCACCCCTGGGATGCCCACACCATCCCACTGGATGCTGATGGCCACAAATCGCCTTCCAGCTGGCATTCAGCGGCCCTTCACCCTCGATGACTTCAAGTTCATCATCTTCCACACGCCCTTCTGCAAGCTGGTGCAGAAGTCAGTGGGGCGGCTGCTGCTGAATGACTTCTTGGCCACCCCCAACCCTGACACAGCCGCCGGCCTCTACAAGGGGCTGCAGCCCTTCCGGTGAGTCCCCATGCCATGTCCCCCATCGCCCATCCCAGCTGCGGACATGCCTATGTGGGGCTCAAGACAGCCTCTCTCTGAGCAGTGGTGTGAAGCTGGAGGACACCTACACCAGCAAGGATGTAGAGAAGGCATTCCAGGCGGCCAGCCAGGAGATCTTCAAACAGAAAACAAAGCCCTCCCTGCTCCTCTCCTCCCGCAATGGCAACATGTACACACCATCCATGTATGGCTGCCTGGCCTCCCTCCTGGCACAGTGAGTCCCCCAGAAAGCTGGCTCAGGGTTGGGGGGAGTCATTGTGGGGAGGGCAGTTTCTGCCCTGGCTGGCTGGGGGTGCAGGTGCCAGTACGCATTCTGCTCCCCGGAGACTTTACACTTTCATTGCACATAACCCCGGGGGTGGATGTGTCCCACTCTGCGCCAACTCCCTGCCAGCCTTTTCATCCCAGCTCACACAAAGTCCTTCTTTTGGCACTGGGAGGATGAAAACCCCATTGTTGTGCCTGGCGGAATGGCTGACCCAGCAGCAGAGGAGCCATGGGAACACACAGGCACCCAGCGGGAAGAAAGCCTCATGCTGGGGCTCCCTGGCATCACTGCAGTCCAGGGCCATGCACCCTCTGTAATGCAGCCCTGAGTCCCAGGACCCCCTGGCCTGCAAACAGGGCAGGATGCAGCCTGCTCCTACACCACCCGCAGATATGCATCCCCCCCGGCTCCAAACCCATTCTAACCCCCCCCAACCCCTCAATGCAGGTCCTCAGCACGGGACCTGGCCGGCTCCCGGATCGGTGCCTTCTCTTACGGCTCGGGGCTGGCTTCCAGCATGTTCTCCTTCCGCGTCTCACAGGATGCAGCCCCGGGTGAGCCCCGTGGGAGAGAGGGCCTGGGAAGAGCAGGAAGCGTGGGGCTGCAGGGCTGGGGCTGCAGGCTGAACTGTCTGACCCAAGGGGTGCCCCCTGGTAGGCTCGCCCCTGGACAAGCTGGTCTCCAGCCTGGCTGATCTCCCGGCTCGCCTGGATGCCCGCAAGCGTGTGGCCCCGCAGAACTTCGCTGAGATCATGAAGCAGCGGGAGGAAACCCATCACTTGGGTGAGCAGGGCTGGGGGGGATGCAGCACCCCCCTGACAGGACCCCACGGTCCCACTGAGCATCACCATCCTCTCCCTGCAGCCGACCACACTCCCCACGGCTCCCAGGCAGATCTCTTCCCTGGCACCTGGTACCTGACACGAGTGGATGCCAAGTACCGCCGGCAGTACGCCAGGAAGCCCATCTAGGAGGGACTGGAATGGTGAGCGCTGGGGAGGGGTGTGTTCTCTTCACTGCTGGCATCCCCTCTTCCCTATCACATCCTTCCTCATCCCCAAATCTGGGGCTGGCCTCTGCAAGAAACCCCACCTTGCATGGCTGGAAAATAGCCATCAGCACCTCTGGCCCTGGAGCTGGTGGAGATGGCAGCATTTTCCACAAGCACCTAGGCCACATGAGGGAATAAAGGCACAGACGAGAGGGGGCAGCAGCTCGGCTCTGGCTTCTGGTCATGAGTGGTCCCCTCCCACGCAGGGGCCCTTCCCTCAACCACCTTGAGACTAGATCACAGCCTCTTACAGGATTTATCCCATTGGCACCCAACATGGCCACTTGCTCCATTGAACACGTCTCAATGCCCGCTACTTCCCCAGGATTGGGAGCATGCCCTGACATTCTGGGGAGCCAAGTAAAGCCCAGCTCCCCAGTCTCCAGTTTGGGGGTGGTCAGATGCCATTTTCCTCATGACGTAGGTAAATGGGAACATCCCCACAGGAAAACTCAGGGGGCTGGAGGAGGCAGCTGATGTGGGGGCTCACGGGAGAGCTCAGCCCCCCATGGAGCACTGCCTGCTCTCTGGGCCATGTCGCAGCACAGGACTGTGGCCAGACGGGAGGGACCTCAGCGGGGCTGCAGCAGCCGCAGGGACCTTTGCACCCTTGAGCAAACAGCAGAGTGGGGCACTGGGGTCTGGAGGGAGGGAGGTTGGGGCGGGAAGTCTGGGGTCAAGGGACTGCACAGACAAGGCATCACATGCTCTTTCCTTCTGGA